TGTGTGGTGCTTAGTTGCTGGCTGGTATTAAACCATGACACAGACAAAATTTGTCAGTTCTACTAATCAAGCAGGAGTTTCCAGAGCAGCACTACAGCAATGGTCCAGAAAGTTATATGAAGCAGTGTTCCTTTAAAGATGATCACTACCTTCTGAGGGCTATTCATGTAAGCCTTTCAATCATCTGTCTTGCAATCCTAAGTGAAAACAGTCACTATTTAAAAGCACCAGGTTTTTTACTCAATAAGAAAACAACCCAACTGTTCCTTCCTTTATATTCTGCTCATTTCAGTATGCAGACATACAAGGGAAATCCAAGGATCTGCATTCACTCCTGACCTTGTACAGGACTTGGATATGAAAAATGAGAGCTCTTCATCTCAAATGTCTGTTTGAGATCAGTTCCTTACTCTCAAAAACTCATTCCCAATTCTTAGTGAGAAATCAAGGATTTACCATTGGCTGAATTAGTTACGCTGATGGGAAGCTTTAGAGCAACTGCCTCTTCTGGAGGGAGAACATGATCTGGGAGAGTCCAAAATTGCAACTTACATGTTTTTTCATTTTATGATTTTATGTTTAAAACTAAATCTACAAGTTCATAATGTGATTCCTCAATAACTACTTTAACCTGTAAGCCTTCAAGTCTATTCTAAAAAGAATCATCCAAATTTACTTAGACTCTCATAAGAAAGCTGTTAAAAACATTTAAAACACATTTATAGTTAAGAGCAACCGTGCCACTGTTGTGCCCCTAGAACATACAGAAGCACCAGTATTGAACTTCAGCCTCAACAGCTGGATCAGTCATGGCTAATGCTGTATGATCTAAGTGACACAGTTTAATATTTCAAAGATGGATAAGAAAAAAATATATTTTGTTAAGCTATTTTTAAAAAGGTTTTAATAGCCCAGTATCTTACCTGTGTTCAGCAGCTGGAACAGAATATCCTGGAACTGGATCTTTTGTACCATAGTACTTTTTAATTAACGCAATTCCTGCTACAGTGTCTGTTCCTTTGAAGTTTACCAAATGAGCTGAAGCTCCTATTCCTGCAGTCTGAAAAAGAAGCAACTTTCAGTTGCCACGCCAAAAAAAGAAGCCTAAATCCAGTCATCGCCTGGCACTAGTGCGAATAGCAAAACTCTGACTCAGTTCCTGTTTCGCCAATACCCTCTTCGTGTACCTACAGGGCAAAGACAGCTTCCATATAGGAAAAAGCTCTCCCAGCCTGATGCTCAGGGTTCAGACACATACCCACCCCTCACTCCAGATCTCCCCCCTCGACAGTAAGTCCAAACACAGAGCTCCACGCATTCACAATTTCACTGCTGAACAGGGACACAACTGTTAACAGATACATGCTACAATCCTTTATGGTTAAGAACAATTAGACTTCTCAAATTATTAGACAAGTAGTATTACCTCTTGTGAAGAAACTCCTCTGTAGCCGAAGTCATGCAGTTTATATTCCAGTCCTTCCAAGCTGCCAGAAGTCTCTAGCAAATATTTGGCCAAAATCTTTTTCTGCTCTCTAGAGTTTGTAGCCACTGTGATTGGATACCATGACTGCACAAGAATAGTCTAAAACAAAACCCATCACATTATTAGGTGTATGTTTGCTTAGGACTCAAAAATCCCCACTTGGCATTTAATCAGGCACAAAAAGGTCTATTTATTTTCATTGCCCATTCAGAAAGTACTGATGCCTCCAACAGTTTGCTTTAGGGCTAAAGTAATTAGCCTGTGTAATACTTTAGAAGGTAGGCCAGGTATTGACCATCTCAGGAGTTATCACTCCCAAGACACAACTCCCTCCATCCTCCTTTCCTCGTGGATGAAAGTACCAATGTGAATTTCCTGTAAAATTATTACAATCTCTTGCCAGGTAGAGGCAAAAGGTCTGTGTGAGAATCTAGGCTTACTTAAAGCAGACAATGAAAGCTGCCAAAGATTCCCCTTAAACCAATGAGGATTCAGCATTTATTTAAGTGCATTAATTTTTACTTAGGAAAAAAAACATGTTAAATTTCCCAAACTGACCTCAATCCAATTTGTGAGCCAGTAGCACTCTGGATCTGTGTTTTCTACTGTGAAAAGAACATTTCCTCTGGGAATTACAGAGCCCTCAGGAACAGCCTTTATTTCTATAGGAAGGTGGCCATCATATTTCTGTGTAAGAAACAGTAATATTGTCAGACAAGAGGAAAGATTAGGACCTACCTTTCTCTTATTTGACTGCAATGGATAAAACTCAGGCTATGAGTTTATTGATAAAGCTTTCTTCTTTATTTCTTTCAACCCTAAAAATAATTTGGTTTGTTTGCATACCCACCAGCCCATATAAATAAAAAAAAAAATCCATATTTATCGAAAAAGGAAGAAAATCCTGTAACAGAAAATAGTCTCTTTTATCAAACCAAATGATGGTTATCAGTTGTATTCCTTGTGCTTAAGCCAGGAAGGCTTAAATATTCTATAAAGATACATAAGTTCTAACCACGGAACAAGAAACATTTGCTACTCAGTTTTCTTCAGTGCTTTCATATGACATAAGCTAAAAAAAGTTTAGCTATTATCTAGGCCTTCAAAAACTCTCTAGTTTTGCTTAGTATAGATGTGTGCTTTCTTAATTTATTAGGATTCATTTAATATCTATTTTAAAGAATATTTTATCATCTCAGATATTCACTAAACATGAAATCCAATCTTGAAGCGTCACTCTTTTGTTAAATTCAGTCCTTCATCCCCAAAGGACTAAACATTGTGTGAAATATGCCTTTTGAAAAAGACTAAGTTGCAAACAGCAACTCTGGAAGAGTAATTATAACTTTCTGACAGAGCTCTGCAAGCTAAACTGAAAATATTTAAAATGTTTTGTATGTTAGTATTTTTTGACAGAAAGCTTCTCATGAGATATTCCTTAAAGGCCAGAAAAATTGCATCAATTCAGAGACATTACGCAGATTCCTAAGTAGCATCAAAACGTATTCTCCAGTGCCTCTTCTACACTACAGTTTAAAAGTTTCTTCGCAAGTGTAATATGCTGAAGCAAACTGTGTTTATATATCACATGGGAGTTAACCGTTGGACTTGGAGATGTCTGTTCTGGATTAACAAAGGACAACGAAGCCTTCAAAAAGGCTCAGAATAATTTATTAATGATTCAGTGCAGACAAAAGCATAGTTAAGTGAAAAACCAAAACATTTCAGAGTTGCTATAGGCATTGATTTTGTCCACAGAAGAAAGCAATATGGTCATGCCATGGCACTGTATTATAGCTCTTTTCAAAATATTTACGTAGAATCAACTTGTAAAATCCAGGGTTTACATCTCTATCACTCATCATCAATTCCTGCCAACTTCCAGCTCTTATTACACCATGCCCTCGTTCTCCAGGTAGTCCATTCCTCTCTTCCACCCCTTCACCCCATCAGTATTTACTCATTCATCTACTCTTGGTGCACATTCACGGTGTATGTTTCAAATTCATTTTGGCACTTCACTCATCCAGCGGTTGCTCCCTCCACTTTACCTAACACTACACATTAGGTAACAGAGCCAGAGAGCAAACAGCGGCAGGTATGTGAATATGCACAGGAATCCAGTGAGCAGAAGCAGGGTCTCTGTGTGCTTATAAGGGCATACAAAGACCCAAAGGGTACATACACTTCCAGTTTGAGAACCATCAGCATTTAAGATCAAGAAGTGGAAATCACGTTTGGTTATATACATGCATAATTTTAACAAGAAAATCTGACAAAGGAATAAACAATGTATACAAGGATACGCAGAAAGAGTTCTTTTGGAACAGAAGTTCAACGGAATTAGTTAAACCATGTTAAAACTCAAGTGTGGACAGACATGCGGCATAAAAAGGGTATTAATTCAGCTTAGCCAAAGAGGGATCAAGATCACTTTAAATACAGATGAGAGCAGTTCACAATGTATAATGTAGTTTAAACACAAATATGGATTGAATTCATATCTGTAGTTATTTGAAATGGACTCAAGTCCACTACAAACCTCTCTGTAGCTCCCTTTTAGAAAAAAGGGGGTTTATTTACCTTGCTGCCTTTTGCAACATTTAGTTGAAATTCACTTCTCTTGCACACCTTATGGTCCACCCTGGTTGCAAGACGGCATCCAGATGCATTCAGACAGATGCCACCATAAAACACATACAGTCAGGGTATCCAGGGGAAAATGCAAAGAACGAAAAATTGTGTTTTCGAATGTCAAAAATATCCATTCACTAGAACCCACAATGAAACTTGGCATTTAATTAATCTGCAGAGATTAGAACAGTTCTCATGAATGTTATTAGTCAATCTGCTGCTTTTACTGAGAAGAGATGCTTACAATTACTTGAAGACTGACACATTTTTAAACAAAAGGG